AAAACCATGGAAGGTGTTATATGCATATCACTCAGCAGAGATTCAGTTCCAAGCGAGAAGTTAGGCAGTGATAGTCCAGGTGAGTCAAGAGTAGAGTTTGAGGAGAATTTCCAGGTAAAACATTAAGCTTAATCAGCAGAGGATGATAAAACCTCAAATCGATTAAAGATGGGAGGTTGAGTCCTTGTACTTATTTAGTACCCTATTACAGAGACGCTAATAATCACGAGACCCAGAATTTTAGATACTATGCGTTTCTTCGTTTTCTCAGCAACAGGGACTTAGATTGTTTGAGGACTAGTCTACATTTATTACTAGCAGTAGCAAATAGGCATCTGTTATGACGTGAACTGTCACGCTGGTATAGCCGGAGATAGTGATGCCTATGTGTTATACTAGTCTGAACCATGGAGATGATTGCAGTTTCACTTGGTATTTCCAAGGAGTGATGAAAGCGTCCATGCCGGCATTGCCCCAGGAAGAAATCTCAGTGACGCTATATTAAATTGGGCGGCTGATGATGTCATTCCATAGGGCGGCATGGAGAAAACCCTAGAATGAGTCCCAATCAGCGTGCTGGTAAAAGAAATAGGTCTTATGGATAGTGGGTTCCGGATGCTTGAAAGGAGATATCAATAGCTATCACAGTGTAGTCCGAGTTATCAAAAAGGCAATATTGCGAAGTTCAGTAAGAGAGAGGAGAGGAGGTAGAAATAGATCCAGTAGAGAAGCCTGTTCGGTTTGGCTTGAGAAACGAGTAGGAAAGACCACGATTTGAGTTAAGGATTGGGCAATGGAAAAATTTAATGTCTGTATACCGGCAAGATCAGTAATTTTGGAATGTTTCAGCCACATCTCGAGGTGAGCATTAAAGTCCCCAAAGACATAGATATTCGGAGATGAATGGAAAGAAAGTGCCTTTTCTATACTGTGATGTATTGCGTCTAATATACAACAGTCTTTGGAAGAGGAGGAGCTGAGATAGATTAGTATCAAAGACGGAAGCAAATGAAAGCGTAGTCAGTGACCTTGAGAGACAGTTCTCTGTCCATCTGAAGATTATCCTGGATGTAAAATCCAAATCAATGCTTGTGAATATTGGAATCTTTTCAGCAAATGGGAAGTTACCCTGCAAACGAAGAATCCATTGGTAGCAATGGAAGAATTCCAGTTGGTTTCACAAATGGGCAAAGATATCTGGCGACCATTCCAGGAGAAAAGATTCTACACTGCGAAATTTGGAACGGATACCAAGAATATTGTTTGCATTCCATGAGGGTATCTTGATCAAACGATTAAACTTTTCAGACGAACCTCTGAGACCTGTTTTTATTTTCAAATTATGAGTTTGAAACTAGCTCACATAATTGATAACCGCGTACAACAGCCGTTCGAGATTTACTTGATCCCCCTCCCCGCTTCCACTGTGTCAGGTAATGACACAAGGTCAGTTTTTAACGTTGGAACCCGAGTGTTTCCACACGGGTCGCTGGTCTTAGCTGGTCGTAGTTCGTCTAAGCTGGTCATAGTTTGTCTAACCTAGTCATAGCCGTTATGTAACAGATGTCACGCATCGGTTGATGGGGGGGGCAATGAAGGAGAGAAGGCCTCCGTTACGGAACAGATACTACATCTGCAACATCCATCCTGACCGGGGGTGGGGGGTAAAACCCACTTCTACTCCTCTGCCAATCCTTCCTGAAAAAATCCGGGAAGAAGACATCTGTAGACGTTCTTCTTTCATCCATTCCTAATAGTACGCTGCTATCAATGGTCTGGGTACAATTTCATTGTCGATATTTGTAAATAAAACTAAGTGTAGTTAACTCTTTGAGAATACAGAACTTAGTTTTACTCGGTATTTATATTAAGAAGAGGGACTATTTTTTGATGTTTTGATTCAGATGAATGTTGTGTCTTGAGGAATCTATAATGAAAGCTATTCCACAAAGATTGTTACAAAATTAACAAAGTTAATTTAAGTTTTATTTCAGTCAACTGTGTGCCATGCGGAATACACTCTTAGTCGATCATCTATCTTTCGATACATGACTGACGAGACAATTTTTCCCGCAGTTGCCATTTCCTACTGTGGTAAACCAGTTCAATCCAAGGCTATAAAACTCGGTCTGTTCTGCTATTTATCCATAGCTGGGGGAGAAGGGGATTCAAACCATTCCCAAGGGTATTAACACGTAAGTGTATGTAATGGATTCGACTGGAATTCGAACTCGGTTCTCCGATTCCTCAATCCGAGCCGCTATCCACTACTCCACCGGTATTATTACATATTATCTGCACTATTTATATTCGGTCTGTTGTCCTCATCTTTCTTGTTATCATGACGTTTCGGTCGTTGTGCCTCTGGCCTTCTTCAGGTGTATATCGATCTAGGTAATCTACAGCGAATTATTTACTGAACACTTTATTTAATCTACGGGGGTAGACTCTTCTCGTTCCAATGTTCACGTCTAGTTATAATTTTTATTTAGTACTGTTCAGTTAATGTTCGCGCGTTTCCGCTTATTGCCCGACTCAGGAACTGAAGTCAAAAATACTATGTTACCAAATTCACAAACCAATACTTTTATCCACGTAAGACAATTTAAGTAATCTTCCTTTCTGTGACGTGTTTCTTACATATATTAGCGAACATGGTTCTCCTTAATTTTCTATCCTTTGTATCACTTATTAAGGTTTGTTTTTCACCATTTCTCCCACACCCTTATTTACACAAATATGTCAGGTAGCCTACTCACAGTTTCCCTCTATCGATCTATCTTGCCTGAAATAGGTCCTATGTGTGTTAAATTCACCAAACAGTCTTTCTTTATTATGAGTTTTCATTATTGTTTCTCTTTACTCACATGTTCAATGTGTGGTATTGTCAGTATCCTTCTGGAGAGTCTGTTACCTGAAATCTCTTCTTAATCAGTAAATATTCAGTATTCATTTTCATTTAGGAGCAGGGTAGGTGCCCTCTCCCACAATTTATGCCACGGAGTGACTTCCCTACTAAATAATAAATCATTTTTCATTTAAAGGTAATATTCATATAAAATACAATTTTTATTGTAACTTAATTATGTATAAGAATGGATCATATGCAATATAGGTGAACAAATTAACTCAAAAAAGTGAAAATAAATTCAATGTTTCTAAATACAAATTAGAGAAGTGAAAATAAATTCAATGTTTCTAAATACAAATTAGAGACATGTCATAAAGATATGATTCCATCTTAAATAAATCAACAATGTTTTGCAACAATTCTTAACATCAACTTGAGATTTTTCTTATTAAAATTTTGAATAATTTTAGCACATTCAACATTATCTATGAAAAAGGTTAATTTTATATGCTGTTTTTTTGGGGTTTTTTTACTCCAGGATGACGTCAACATCCGCTGAATATTTTCATCCTTTAAAAATCAGTTGTTCTTTGTTTAATTTGTAATGTATATAAATGTAGGTAGAAGAAATAAAAAAAAAAATTTTATTTAATTTTAAATATCTCAACAAATAATAACCACAACAGGGTCGATGTAAGAGTCTTGTTCCCCCCCTCAATCTATGATACGAGGCCTTAGACTCTCCTATATCTCAATTTTTATATAAAATACAAATTTTATTGTAATACATTTATTCACAATAATCGATCATATGCAATATAAGTGAACATTTCAAGTAGAAAAAGCGAAATAAATACAATGTATCTAAATACAAATTAGAGACATATCATAATAGATCACTCCATCTAAAATCAACATGTTTTGCGGCAATTTTAACATCAACTTGTGATTTTTCTCGTTAATAAATTAAATAATTTTAAGATATTCAGTATTTGGGATAAAAATAGTGAATTATATATATATATATATATATATATATATATATATATATATATATATATATATATATATATTCTTGACTTTGCAATAAAAACAAATTCAAGGATTTAGACCCCATAAGAAAAGACCCCAAAATGGCGTCAAGATCAGCGAAAATGTTCCATTACTTAATAATCAGTTGCGCTTAGTTTAACGTAATCCTCTACCTCGAGTGACCTCCGAGCCTTGTCAGGTGTGAAAAAAATTAGGTAGAAAAATGCAAATGTTGATAAGATAGCGAGAGTCACCAAGCACTGGCCGGGTTCCCAATAAGGCTTGCCCATCACTACACAGCCGAGGGTCCGGGAGTAGTACGCGACGGCCCTGTGTAGGCGGATTAGTATTGCATAACATTTTGGCGCGCATTTTTTGTTTCCTACAAAATTTTCCTGATTCATTATGCTTTTCTTCGTTTAGTTCAGACAAGCTTCCTTATACGTATGGCCTTGTACCCGACAATGCTATGCATAACCTGGAACCATGGTTACTAAGATAATCTCCGGAACCTTTCTTTAGTGCTATAAGTTTGATCTTTATGACTACGTTTCTTTTAACATTGCCGCTGCTTCAGCCCACTCGCTAAATAACTGCGGGCATAATTTTTTAAAGTTTATTTTCGCTATTTTTAGAACATTTAGCTGTTATTTTATTTTTATTTTCGATATTATATCTTTCATTTTGGGTTCTTTTTTATTTTATTTTTCGTTGGCAGAGGGGACCGTTCTTTCCGGCCCTCGACTGAATGTTACGCTGTTTTTCAGCAAGTGTAAAAATTTCATTAAAGTTAAAAAATAAATAAAATGAAATAGAATGAAAAAATATAACGAGTGAAAAAATCGAAATCCATCGATGTGGAATCAATCACCCGATGCCAGAAGGCCGAACAAACATAAAGCAATGAGATGCAACGTTGCATTAAACGTAGACATTCTGCGTCGCTTGCAGCTTCTTCTTTGCACTTCGACTTTCCAGCCATCTTCACCCTCCAATCTTTTAATCTTTTCCATCTGTATTTCTTCTTCTTTTCAGGATTTTTCCCTCTCTTTCTGGATTTCTTTCTCTCTTTCTCTCTCAATATTTTACTTTTTTTTCTCTTCTTTAATTACTTTTTATGTCTCATCTGTGTCTCAATTTTAGGCCCACTTTTTTTCTATTTTCTACTTCAATTTTTATAATTTTCCTACGTATCCTTTTCTCTTTTTTTCTTCTTTTTTCTTCCTTTGTTTCTTCTGTATTTCTTTCTTTCTTTCTTTCTTTCTTTCTTTCCTTCCTTCCTTCCTTCATTCCTTCCTTCTTTCTTTCTCTCTTCATATTTAACTTTATCTCTGTAGTAAATATTTTTTTTCTATTTACTCCATAATATTTTACTTTTTTCTTCCATGTATCGTCTTTTTCTTCTTTCCTTTTCTTCTTTTCTTTCTTTCTTTATTTCTTTCGTTCTTTCTTTCTTTCTTTTTGTTTCGAATAGTATACTTTTTTCTATTCTTTAATTAATTTATTCTATTTTTACTTCATCCTTAAAATCATTTTCCATATCGCTTCTTTTTTCTCTCTCTCTCTCTCTCATTCTCACAATATTTTCCTTTTTCTCATTATTTTTTTCTTTCTCTTTATCTGTGCTTTAATTTTACTCCCACTTTTTTTCTATTTTCTACTTCAACATTTCATCTTTTTCTTCTTTCTTTCTTTACTACTGCTTTCTTCGTTTCCACCCTTCCAGCCTGCCTATCTTCCTTCCTTCCTTATTTCCTTCCTTACTTCCTTCCTTCCTTCTTCCATTTATTCATTCCTTCCGTCATTCCTTCTTCCCTTTCTTCCCTCTTCCTTCCTTCCTTCCTTCCTCCCTCCCTCCCTTCTTCCCTTCTTTCACTCTTCCCTTCCTTCCTTCCTTCCTTCCTTCCTTCCTTCCTTCCTTCCTTCCATTTATTCCTTCCTTCCTTCCTTCCTTCCTTCCTTCCTTTCATTCTTTCTTTCTTTATTCCTTCCTTCCTTCTTTTTTCTTTCTTTCTCTCTTTATTTCTTTCTTTCTTTCTTGATATTTTACTTTTTCTCTTTTGTAATGTTTTTTTTTCTATTTTTTAGTTAATCCTTTAATATTTTCCTCCACTTTTCCTTCTTTATTTCTTTCCTCCTTTCTCTCTCTTTTTCTCACTCTTTCTCTCTCTCTCTCTCTCTCTCTCTTAATGTTGTACTTTTTTCTCTTCTTTAATTACTTTATTTTATTTTTCTTCACCTTTTAATCTTTCTTTTTCACTGTCTGTTCGTTCTTTCTTTCTTTCTTTTACTAATTTCTACTTCAGACATTTAATCTTTCTTCTTCTATATATTCTCTCTCTCTCTCTCTCTCTCTCTCTCTCTCTCAATTTTCATACATTTTCTCTTCTCTTATTACTTCCATAATCTTTTCGACTTCAACATTTAATCATTTTTTCTGTGTCTCTTCTCTAGGAATAAGGTCATTTACCTCGCCTTGCCACAACACAGGATGTGGCACAAGGCCGTTTTTTATGTGTGACGATTCCGAGCCTGTAGTCTCATGCAAAAATTTCTCGTAGACTCCGCTTACACAGAGTCGGGCCAGTCTACACCGTACCACCCACCAGACGTAAGAAAAAGGTTTCAAAGATAAAAGGGCAGGTTGCTTTTTTGTTATCTTATTTCAACATTTTACAAGTCAGGATTATTGACTGACTGATTCATTTTCTATGGTTTATCAACCCTATGCAGATTATTTAAATCCCCAAAATATTTTTTTGAGATTTTAAGATTGGCCGGGGTGGGGGTGAGTATAATGAGATAATAAAAGCTGGGAGGGGAAAAAAGAAGTAGTTTCATGCTTTTCTCAAGGGTATTTGCGCGAAAATAAATATAACGAACCCAACTGGAATTGGAACTCGGCCCGCCGACTAAGCGAGCCATTATCCATTACACCACCCGAGCGGTCACCCTAAGCAATCTAGGTACTGATTAGGCTTGACGTTGCTTAATTACGCTGATCGTATGGGAAACGATGTTTCAACGCGATATGGCCGTAAACTTTGAGCAGGATCAGAAGGATAATTGTTTATCTTGTTTCTTGATCTTGCACTTTGACGAAATTCCAACCCCCTACTTTATGAACACTCGGACGTTTATTGCACAGTGTGAAATCTTCCGACCCACAGTAATTAAGATCACACTATACATTAGGCACCGAAGAATATCTAATTAAGCATATTAGGACACATTAGAGAAAACAAAATAGTAATAGAAAGATTGTGTAGCTTTTAATACTCTTTGGAATGACAATGACCAAAATGGAAAGCGATTATAGAAAGATTGTGTTTGTGACACTCTTCCATATTGAAAAGGCTTATTTTTCACTTCTTTTAGAAAAACAACATTGCACTCAGGCTAAAAGTTGGAGTTCTATGTGATAAATACTGACATTAAAAATTAGATTCATATCCCTTACAAATTTTTGAGCATTTAGTTTTAAATATCGTCGGAAAATGTACAGAAACTCCCACTTTCCGCAGGTTTTTGCTTCCAAACTGACTTCAAAATTTTACTATTTCAAGACTAAATCCACATAAAGTTGATATCTTTTGCATTAGTATCTAATGCATTATTGAATAGAAAATATATTCAAACCAGAATTCTAATTATGAGTCCTCACAAGCAACATATACAATTTATTTGCTGTAAGCAAAATTGTAAAAAATTGTAAAAGATTACAATTAAAGTCTACTCAGTGAATAAGATTTGTTAGATCTTTTGTTAGATCATTTGTTAGATCATAAAAACAAAAAATAGGTAAAAGTGACACAATAATACTGCTGGGCAAAAATTATCATACAAAATGTTTTAAATTTGCATTGTTTATTGAAAATCACACTAAAACTATTGCACTGTATAACATATTACATCATGATATAGTTAAATTGTTCAGTATAATGTCCCTTTGAATTAAATGAAGTTGGTATTTGATGACACAATGATCTAGTTATAATGTGCTTGTGCCATGCATCTTATCCATATGCAATTTGTAAAGGTTCAATAAATTATAACTTCTATAAGGCTCTGCTAAAAGGCTTACACTGGTTGGCGGGATAAATTTCCAGCGATGCGATTTTGAACCTAAACTTAATCTTTAATTTCATTTCCTAAACAATAACGGTAACGGTTTGAAAAAAATATTTTGTGTCTTTATTTATCATGTCAAACTTCAACTTTAAAATTTAGTGGAATACCACGGTTCCAAAATCGACCTGCCCTAATGGACAGGCAGTTATAAAAATTGTCCTTTCAAAATCCTTTTTTTTTATCTGAAAACCGATCGTGCCTATCCGTGTAAATAGGAGTTCTAATAGGACACTTGTATTTATAATGGGAATGTCATAGTTGAAATTCTACGTCATGTAATAAGGAAATTAGCTTTGAGAATTTGATACCCATAAAACATGAAGAAATGAAACGATTTACAAATAACTTTCCAAATCAGCTTTTGAAAATAGATATTAGAAGAATAAATGGACTTACAGCTATAAAAGATAGGAAGATGCGGAGATCCATAATCATTTATATTCTTATGCGACACAGAGGATAAAAGATGATGTTTTATGTATGTTAATCACGAAGATTCCCGTGTGGCATGTAGGACCGTAGCAACACTTGGTGTAGGGCATCTGTGATTCTAAAGTATGCCCCGGTTTTGCTGCTATGGTGTCATAAAAAGTACATTTTTAAGAAATGAATTTGCTAGCCCCACGCGTAAGCAGATTTGAATTCAGAAATGTCCTTCTCACAGACCGGCTGATACGATTTGGAAGAAGTGATAAATTCATACCTCACCATTGCTATTTGTGTGAAAAGGAACGCACTAGTTTCGGCTGGGAATTGAACATGAAATGCCCGATAACTGCTACTCAACTCACACGTCAAAACATTTAACTTTTAATGTTTAGTTGTAAAGAACACAGCGAAGAATAAAGGATAAGGAAAATTATGTTGCGCAGGTCTTCCAGATGGCAAGGGTCAGCAACGAAAAGAAAACCAAACCCACTTCGCCTAGAATATATATTCCTATTTTTATTACTCTTTGACCTTGTGTCATGTAATACCAAATTCCTTAAATATCATTTGGAGGCTTGGAGGATTTAGAGTTGCATCTATTCCACTGAGACATATCAGTGGTATTCAAGCGAAAGTGAAAGTTTGAATATTCGCTTGCTGAATTTCAGTGGTGACTCTTGTCATCTTGAAGACTTGCGCAGCACCATCTTCCTAATCCTGTATCATCCGATATCTGTGAGAGAATGAAAAAGATACTGAGAAAGAAAAAAAAAAGATGTAAAATAAATTAGAAAAAAAAAACAGAAAAAGAAGACCACGAAAAAAAGGAAAAGAACAAGAGAGAGAGAGACTAGAAAAAAAGAGAAAGAAAGAATGAAAAAGTTGACAAAAAAGAAAGAAAATGTAGAGAAGAACAGAAGGCAAATATAAAAAGAGAAAAAAAAAGAATATAGAAAAATAGAAAAAAGAAAGAAAGAATGAAAAAAAAAGAAAAATAAAAGGAGAAAAAAGAAAGAATATAGAAAAATATAAAGAAAGAAATAAAGAAAGAATGAAAATGTTGACAAAAAAAGAAAATATATAGAGAAAAATAGCAAACAAAAACAAAGAGAGAAAAAAGAATGAATATAGAAAAATAGAAAGAAAGGAAGAATGAAAAGGTTGGCAAAAAAGAAAGAAATTATATAGAAAATAACAGAGAGAAAAAATTAAAAAGTGAAAAAAGAAAGAATATAGAAAAAATAAAAAAAGGAAAGAAAGAAAGAATATAGAAAAAATAAAAAAAGGAAAGAAAGAAAGAATGAAAATATAGAAAAGAAAGAAACAGAAAGAACAAAAGCAAAAAGAAAAAAGAAAGAATATTGAAAAATAAGAAAGAAAGAAAGAAAGAAAGCAAGAAAGAAAAAAAAAAATGAAAAAGTTGACAAAAAAGAAAGAAAATACAGAGAAGAACAGAATGCAAAAACGAATAGAGAAAAAAGAAAGAATATAGAAAGAAAGAAAGGAAGAAAGGAATTAAGGAAGAAGAGATGTCTCGACAGATTGATATCTAACACAGATAAATATGATCAGTTTTCTAACCCAGTTAAAAGCCATGATTTCTTTTTCTTCTTTTTTTTCTTTCCTCTATGATTCTTTCTCTTCCTCTCTAACATTTTGAGGTGTCCTGGGCATGACGATAAACTATATTCGGCAGCAAGGCCTTTTATCAGGAGGTTTTGAGGAGCGTGGAACTGCCTCTTAATTGCTGGTCCACCCGGGTCTACCCTGGCCTGGTGTGGTACCTGTTGGGGTTCAAGCTGTGGGCAGGTGGTTAATCGCCATACTGTGGTCAAAACACTATGAGAGTGTAAAAACAGGTTTTAATACCAACAATACATATTTGGAAAACATTATTACAACAATACATTTTTGGGGAGAAAATTCTTACTAGCAATACATTTGTTTTTAAATATTACCCGCAATGCATTGTCGAAAAAATATTACCAGTAATACATTTTTAAAAAAATACTAAAAATATTACCAGTAATACATTTTTTTTAAAATACTAAAAATATTACCAGTAGTACATTTTCGAAAAAAAAATATTATCAACAATAAAAAATCTTGTTGGCATTAAATAACCTATTGAGCTTCATATGCCGTAAAAAATAACAAAACAAAACAAAAAAAGTTCTGATTAGATATGGAGTAATTAGTAAGAATGTATGTTATATATATAATGCCTTTGATATATATATATATATATATATATATATATATATATATAATGACTGTGAGGGACATAGGGCTGCAAGATAAGGTTGCGGTTTCTGTAAACAAGCCGGTTATACTTTTAGGTGAGAAGGTTGTTAGCATGGAGGATCAGGCTTTGAATTCAGAGTTGTCCTCCTAGACCAGTTGCCAGCCAAGGCTATAGAAGCCAGTCTGTCCTGCTATTTTCCCAAAGCTGGGAGGGGAAAAGGATTCATAGCTCATAAGTGAATGTAATTCGATGATAGGAATTCGAACTCGGCTCTCCAATTCCCGAATCCGAGCCGCTATCCATTACTCCACCGTATCAAACGAGTTAGCCATTATTAACTAAAAAAAAAAAAATCAATTCTTACAATGTAAAAATATTTTCTGCAAAATAATATGCAAATAGACATAGAATACAAGTCAATGAATCTTTTGCTTGCTTCTTTCGTTCTTTCTTTCTCTTTTCGTTCTTTCTTTCTTTCTCTTTTCTTTCTTCCATTCAATCTTTCGTTATTTCTTTCTTTCTTTCTTTCTTTCTTTCTTTCTTTCTTTCTTTCTCTGCCTATTGCAACCTTCCTCTATATATTGCATCTACGCTTCATTTT